AAACATACATACATATATACATATGTATACATTTATATATATATAAATAGAAACATACATACGTGCTTGAAAATTATGCAAAAATTGACTTGATGACTGAGAAATTCGCGATATTACACAATTAATATAGTTCGGCTGATGACAGCTACAGAAACGCGAAAGCTGTTTTACACCAAAGCACCACTAAAATAAAGCTTTTCGACTAGCACAAAGCTTTCTACTTAATTCAGCAGAAAGATATTAAGATTTAATGAACGTCACATTTAAAAAAAAAACTCAGGCAACTATTTAAAAAAAAATTTGAAAAAATCAAGCATAAATGAAAGCAAAGGCATAGTAGAAAAAAATTATAACCTAAAAAGTAGAAAAAAGTATGAACGAGTTTGAGTGGTAACGGTTTTTACTATATGTATATATGTAATTGTAATAAAAAAATTTTAAAAACTCTATTTAGTTACATAAAACCGCGCTTATTTAGTTAGAGCTTCAAGCACAAACAAATATAAGTCCATGCGCCACGATACCCAATGCAAAACAACAGTTAATGGCTTGGCCGGTGGCGCCTCAGCAACAGCAACACAAAATTTGCAAAGCAAACCGACGACTACAGACGAGTTGAACAGAGTTATGTTGCACAAATGCATTTGCCGCAACTACAACAAGAACAAACACAAACAAATACGCAAGCATTGACCTATACACACACATACGATCCACACCATGCCTCCCAAGCATGTGGATGCTGACTTTATGCGACAATTTAAACTTTTTAACCGATTCTTCGGCACTTCCAACAAGTATAAGAGGCAACAGACTTAAAACTGGGTGCATATATCGAAGAAGTAAGAACTATTAGATTATCGTAGATGTCAACACAGCAGTGCGAAGTGATAAACAACGGAGCTTTCAATAAGCATGTTTCGCTTTTCTAATGTTAGGACTTGAGAAATCAAGAATAACCGCTTACAAAGTAAGAAAGGAAAAGTTCAAGAATTTAAAGTCGGAAAAGTAAGTAATTGCAGGTAAAGTACGCGCTAAATCGTAGGTATTAACTGGACGACGCACATACATTTGCACAAACATAGTGTATAGTTAAGAAATATTCAGAAAGCCACGAACAAAAACGAACAAACATAGCGCCGCTGGAGTTGTGTGAGCGAGATAGTGAGTGATTTTACTGTGACATTTTCAATGAAGGGTCAAAGTTAAAGTAAAAAAAAAACAAAAAATATACCAAATATAGCAAATAGACCAGAAATAATTAAAATTAGATAAATAGCAATTTTCATTTCAATATAAAAATTTGTTTTGTTTTGGTTAGTAGTTACATCCAGAATATTTCCGCTTTGAAGACTGCTACATTATAAATAACATGAGGTTATTTTTTTATAAATATACATACGTATGTACCACCAATTCTATTTCTTTAATATTAATTTATGGAAAACAATATGGCGTAGAAAACTTTTACACAGACCAAAAAGCTACAAAGTTGTCAAACAAGCAAAGCCAACGCACGAGCACCCGGAGAGCCAGTCGAAATATACAAGACAACGAGAGCCGAAGCAGCTCGTTTGAATGAAAAACCTACACATAAGTACTTATATAAATAGATGGTTCGGCGACATGTGGATCCAAGGTAGAGGGGGTGAAAATATAAACATTGTATGCACACGAATCGGTTGGAAGTTGATGTGTATACGACGACGATTTTGTAAAATCGATTCAAGAGTTATGATGAATATTTTTATAAAATAATTTAAAAATATTTAATAAATTTTGTTTTTTCGAAAATATCAAAATAAATATAGTGTGGCGACTATTTAGATTTTTATGAATATATAAATTAACTAATATTGTTATTACTTATTTACATAGTATATAAGTAGATGCAATACATAAATGATTATAACAAAGAAATACTACTAAAAACAATAACAGCAAGAAAAGTTCAGAAATTCCTCTAAATGTAAGCTCAAGACAAGATTCCAGTTCTTATTTCATCGAACAAATTTTTACAGTTATGTACCTCAATCGTACACATGCACTGCAGCTTAGAGAGCGTAGCTAACGAAACACTAACAAAACCGAAGAGCACAAGTAAGCTAACAAAGGATCTCTGCATTAGCGTCGAAGCTGTTTGTAGGTTGGTCGTTTCAATAGTTGCGTTCGATATAACAGCAACATAAGCTACTGTAGAAACTCATGCCGAACAGTGGTGTGCAAACATATAGCAACGCATGGTGCTATAGCATGCACTTATTTCGGTTGTATCGAAGCTATTATAATACCTCTCATAAATAAAAACAAAAAGTCTCCATACAAGAACTTGATTTGGATCGTGCAGTTTGTATGACAGCTATATATTATATTGATCCGATCTAAACAATATGTTCGGAGATTGTACCGCTGCCTTGGACAATAATCTTTGCCAAAATTTCGTGAAGATATGTCGTCAAACAAAAAGAGTTTTCTAGGCAAGGACATGATTGTGATTGTTCAGTTGTTTGTATGATGCCTGTCATGCTATAGTGATCTAATATCAGTGGTTCCGATAAATTAGCAGCTTCTTGGGGAGAAAAGGACACACAATTTCAGATCGATATATCAAAAACTGAAGGATTAGTTTGCGTTTGCGACAGACGGACATGACTAAATCAACTCAGCTCGTCATGCTGATTATTTAAATACTTATATTTTTTTTATAGGGTATCCGACGATTCTTTCTGGATGTTATAAACTTCATGGCAAACTTAAAACTAATGCTATAGAATTCTAAAGGAAACTACATTATTGCTTCTATTAAACGTTCAAAAGCATACAAAAATGTTGGGCTATCTAATGGTTTTATTTTATTTGAAGTATTTTTTTTCTATCTGAGGCCGTAAAAATTGACTACACTGCCGTTTAGTACATCTAAATTAGCTAACTTTTTTTAATTCGGTGTAGTTGTAGGAAATATTAATGCTTTAATGCGCTACTCCGACAGATATCGATAGAGTACTCTTACCCCAAATTCGACTTTTTAAAATAAGATTTTAAATCAACTACTCATATGCCAAATATCAATCACACTATGGCTTTTCTGCTACGATATTTTAGTGGAAAACTTTAGATGTTCTCTCTCTTTCTCTTTCTCTCTCTCTCTCTTTTCTCTCTCTCTCTCTGTCTCTCTTATAACCGGATCTTCAGAGCTATGTTAGCGGTGTTGTTGTTGTAACGGTTATCTAACCTTTGATGAACTTAATCAGAAATAAAAAAGGAAGATCAACATTTTCAAGTATATTTATCTTCTTAGAAGTCGATTATTTCTCTTACAAAATTTGAACAAACCAAGAATGTAAACATACAAACACTTAAATATTTAATATAGCAACAATGCTGCTAATTAATAATACATGACTGTAGCCGCAAAAGTGTATATAGTAGGTATACCGATGGGGACAACAGAATAGGTGTGGCCAGGGTATAATTTCCAAATATATTATATATGTAGATATATCGTGCATGAATTTTTTAAAAAGGAAGAGTTACACAAAACAGCTCCTATGCTTCTTGATAGCTGATAAGGACGTTCTCAGTTCTTAAAATTCGAAACTACATACATATATGCAGTACAAAAAAAAAAGTAGTCATACCAGGGGATTTAGTGTGAAGTGTAAAAATAATAAATGTTAGATTAAATAAAATACGAAAAATAAGTCGGAAATAGTGAGGACGGACGAACAACATTACTGAGAGCGTAGCACTTACACACCTAAACTCGCCACTATGCATCAATGTGTAGATACACAAAAATGTGGTATCTCTGGCAAGCAATACTTTATTCGCGATTTGGGTAGCTGAGGCCAACCCAAATCATAAAATTTCGTATGTCAGGTGTGTATAGCGAAAACTGCGTTGGTATTATAATATGATTGTATGTACGTACATATGTATGAGTGGGCTTGTATTGGCTTCTACATCGATCCATGGTAAACAGATCTAAATAGTCGGACCACAAATTGCTAAATTTTCAAAATCTAAAATTTTAGAGAAAATAATCGAAAAACAATATTCCATACGAGTAACACTTTAAAAATCACCAGCTTCGTTGTGTAAGAATTTTGTCGCAAAACCTGTTGGACGGAGCGCAAGGCAATCAAAAACAACAAACGCCAATAGCTTTAAGGGGAATAGCGTGAAGAAACGACGCAAACCCAATGTGCGAGTTAATGAATGAATGGACTCATAGAGCGACTTATAGCTGCTGTGAAGTTGTTGCTTTTTATTGTTGTTGTTTGCGATAAGCATGCGGCCGCTAATTAAGGTAGAGACTATGTTACATTGTGATTTTCAACTTTCAAAAATAAAATTTGTATCTGAAAAAGAAATTAAAACAAGAATTTATGGCATTGTAACTATAGCTTTACGACCGATAACTGACGGCGTGTTTGCCCAGCGCCAGTAGGAACGGCAGTTGTACGCTTCGGCCTGTGCATATACGTGTGTGTATGTATAAGAGCGTGCGTGAGCGTGCAAAGAGAGCAGCAATTATTGTCTGCTCAAGCAAATAAAGAGAGCAAAACAAAGCACTAGTTGAGGCACATGCAAATATACTACGTTCATACATATTTTTTCTTATAAAATTAAATTGACAAAATTATTTAATTAAACAATTTTAGGTAATTTACTATTTAAACTGTTATAAAATTATTTTTATTTTTTTCAATTTTAATTTTTTATTAAATTGTGTTTTGCCACTTGAAAAAATTGTCAATTGTCAATTTATAATGCAAAATTAAAAATAAAATCGTGAAAAGATGTTGCCACCTCGATAATTATGTTTTTAGTTTTATGAATGTACAAACCTACAATACTTACATACTTGAGTAATATGCACACATGTATAAGTTTGAGTACAATATAAGTATACACATTTACGTAAGTATATATGTATGTATATGTATAATGCCAATCCGATTGTGTATGTATACCGTGACGACCTACACACGCAATCGAAAATAACTAAAGATTACTTACCGATATCCAACTCAGACCTTATTTCAGCCATTTCTGCTCGACGAAATTTCTAAAATGCTCTATTTTTTCGTAAATTTTAAAATTTTCTTCACTAGGGCGCACCTTTTGCACAATTGTAGAAATATTAAGAAATATATTCCTATGTACAGTTGTGTAAGTTACAAACCAACATACGAAAAACCTTAAGGCAAATGAGAGAGTAAAAGAGCACTGAACTCAAAAGCGGAGAGTAAATAAGAGAATTCGAAAAGTAGCTGACATCACTACTTGATTTTATATTTATGGTTTTTAAAAAAAGATTCGTTGAGTGATTGAAAATTTGATCCAGGATAATCATGGAAATTAATTTCAAGTGTACCAAAGGGAATGCTAGAGCAAGATGCTAAAGATATGTACATACATATGTAGATAGCAGCAAGAAGATAAGCGCGCAAACAGCTGCCTGAGTACAACGTGGGTATACACGAAGTTGGCGAAAAGCATGCAAATCACTAAAACCGATGGGTCAAATATTGAAATTTGTGCATACTTTAAGAAAGACAACCTTTTCCACAAAAGTTCTAGTTTAAATGCTAGAGATACAGGTATGCAGCCGAATAGCTAAGCACCTCAGGGACACGAGAGAAACGCTGACGAACAAGCTGACAGATTGAAACGTAGTGTACATTCTTATAGAAAGGCAAGTAAGCGAAAGTGTGTGGTGAGTATTTTGTGGGTTAATTAAATGTAATGTAGAACGCATTCGAATAATAATTTCGAGGGATAATTTAAAAGAACTAATATCTTAAAATAACAAATAACGAAAAAATTTTAAATAAAAAATATTATAAAATTATTAATTTTTTTGTAAGGACGATTGCATTCGTCGTAAGTCGCAACTTGGCAGCAGTAATTAAGTCGTTCGGTTAGTATTAGCTATTCCCTCGAACTAAATTACCGAGATATATACCAAAAACTGAAAACAGACAAAGTCCAACGCAATAATCACGGGAACAGCAGATTGCGGCGTATATGCACAAACAACCATAGATAGAATCCGAAAAGCAGTGGTATACTCGTATAAAAGCAGAAAGAAGAGCAACGGCTCTTGTCTGCTCAAAACAGCGCTAAATAACCAATAACAACAAATGTGTGTGACTGCGATGGAATGATATGAGAAATATATATATAAATATACATATATGTATGTACAGAGGTGTAGGCACGCATATATACATTTTTCAGAGAGAAATATATCTAGCGATTTATGAAAAGAAATATCCCGATATAGATAACCGATATTTAAAATTTTAAGAAAATATTACATCTAAAACCGTTAGTTGCATTTTTAGATATGAATCAAAATCACAGTAGTTGCAACAATTAAATAACAATATGACAGAGTAGCTTTTTGGTATTAATAACGAGTCGTCGTTTCCCCGTTTAGCGAAAATGTATGGAAAAAACCGAACGCGAATAAAACAAGCGTACACATAAAAGCAGCCGAATGATGGGTTGACGACAAAATAAAAATAATATTAAAATAACTAAGAATATATAGTATTCATTTATTTAATGTTTGATGTGCAACCAAGAGTTTATCTTCTACTTTGGGAATGAGTTTTCTCCGAACTTTTCGATTTTATAGGCTAATCATATTAGTTTGTAAATATACAGACATAACGTACGTCTTGAAAATATGTATGCATTCAAATATTATATATGCTCCAAAAACAATATCAAAATTAGTAACATGCAATTTAGATAAATATCATTAATAGTACAAAATATGTATCTATAATCCCGCACCGACCCGCAATATTTGCTATAAGTATACTCTAGTAGATATTATATTCTCTGTTTATAATAGCAGACCAGATAAAATCGACAGTTAATTTCTACATGATTATGGTAATAAAGTCCGAAATAAAGTTATTCGGCTCCTGGCATTTTACTATTAAGTCTTACATACACGAAGTAAATTTATAACGTGCAAACGTATGTCTGATAGTACATAATACAAGTTACGCCACATGTAAGCGAAATGTACGATGTCACGGCACGAGCACCGATGGCAGCCATATTGGTTTCGGTCGAAAATTATTATGCGTAAATTTAAATTGTTTAATTAAATGCATACATTTGTATATTCACATAGCCATACTTATTTATTTGTGTCATTTTAAATTATAAATTTATTTCATACACAAATTGTTATTTTCCAAAAATGAACTATTCGACCCGATCTATGGGTCACCTTAACCTTAACATTTATAACCGTAATTCTTACGGCACTATCGAAATCGGTTCAGATTTAAGCATTCCAAATATCATTATCTTCTGCCAACGGTGTCATTTCTCTTTCCTATATTTATGTATGTATGTATCACGGAGTGCTCTTCGATAACTGCTGGTATAGCATTATTTGCGTATATGTGTATGTGCTTCTACATATATAGAGCTTGTTCACATTTTCTCGCTCTGCTTCTTTTTTTCTGTCTCTATAATATCGATTAAAGACATTTTTTAGGTTATGTTTCCCGTAATCGTGGGCAATTACGCAGATATTGTATTTTATCCAGGTATCATTCTATTTATTTTCCAATGTGTTTGTAGTTGCATATGGTCAAAGTTTTGGATCTTATTTTCATTGATCGCTTAATATCACGCATACATATTTACGTGTACTTAATTTGCTTTAGTTTTCTCGAACCAATTAAGTTTCCCTATAGGCATGAATTTTACATTTATTCATAGAATCGGTTAGCTCAAGCTAATTAATAACTTCAGAATACGGTTTTCAGCATATGATATTTTGCTAGGGCGATTATAACCTCAAGCCATGTACATCATTTCTATTAGGGTTGCCAAGCTTTCTGACATCCACATTTGGTGGCGCAATTTAAGCAATTTTCTTTGTATTGTTAATAACAAATTGGGTTCATAGAGATATTTCAATCTAAACTTCACATGTAAAGAAGTAATACGTTTACGAAAATAAAAAGTTTTCGTTTACAAAGAACAGCGTATTCATCCAACTATTCGGTGAACAGAGACCGGACATGCGATCTATGATAATACATCAATCACATAAAAATATCACAGAGCTAGATTTCCTGATAAACGTGCCATTATTATAAAATCTATTAATAATACTCACTCATATTGTAAATAGAAATTTCAAGTGTTAATTATTGGCAACTCTATTGTATATGTAAAATATATAATTTGTAATGTGTGTAAAAAAATTAATGAATTTAAAGGCGGGAAGCTAGATTTCGTTAGTAACTCAAAATACTAAAGCAAACAATATAATAACGCAAGATAATGAATAATAGAAAGGTAAAATATAATCAAACTCACTCTGAAACTAAAATTCTGTATCCAATGTACCAAAAATTCATAACAATCTCACTGTGTTATGTTTTGTCAATAGAAATTCACAAGAACCAGATACAACTGAATCACTGCGTTATTGCACTGTTAGTAGGCTTTTTTGCAATAATTGTTTACTTTTCAATCGAATTTAATTTTTCCTCAACTGACATTCGATCATCCGCAGCCACACACCTTTAGATTAGCATTCACAAACAACAATAATTGTGGGTTTGTTTAATAGACGGCACAGGCAGAAAAGTGACAGTTGTCAAGCGAATGTACCAAACACCCAGCAGGGTTGTAAATCCACAAAAAATTCAAAACCTAACTCTAATATCTAAAATACTTTTTGCTTTTTTTGCACAAATCATTAACTTTGATCTTTCAACCTTTAATATTATTTTACTTGTAAATATGTATGTATGTATGAGTTATATAATTTTTTCATTTAATGATTTTTTTTTTTATTGTAAATATTATAACACTTATTATTATTATTGTGAATAATTTAACAACAGCGAAAATTTCAACAAATCAAGGCACTCACAACAATTTGACCATAATTAAATAAAACAAAAATCAAGACAAATATACAACATATTGCAGGCAAACAAACAATTCATGAAAATATTTCAAAAGCCGAAATTTTTAAAATATCAAAAAGTTCTACTCCAGCAATTCTGTTGAGCAAGAGCTCTGGCTGCGTATTAAAACAATCTGCTGAACAGCTGTTCCATCAATAATTTGCTACAAATAAAAATGTTGAGGTTAGCGTAATTATATAGTGCAAAGCAAAAAGTAACTTGCGAAATGAGTAAATTATTACATATCTCCGTAAATGCAACCGCTAATATTTTTCGTACAAACACCTGCCGTTTGCTACATCGTACACCATTTCTTTCACAAAACCTGAAGCAGCCGGTTACTCATAAAGCATTATCACTGTTAAATAAGCCTACAATTCTAGTTAGAGCACCGGCACGTAATCGTTCGTCGCCCGTTTTTGATGTGAATACAAATGTTAGCAAGGATGTGATACTGTTCAAATACGAGAATCCTAAATACTACAATGTCTTGAACATCTTTGGGTTTTGTCAATTTGTGTTTTGGACTTATCTGTCACATTTTGCTTTCACAACACTTAAAGATGCGCCCGTACAGGAAATACCTGGTGAAGAGTTAGCTTGGTATCAACAAATAAATTTGGGCGAAAACAAATATAGAAATGGCATATCAACAATCTGCTTCCTAATAGGTTGTATAGCTAATTATATTGCTGTGCTAAGTGTAAACTAACTATATTTGTTTGTAGGCTATGGTATTCTTTGTGCCACCTGGTTGTTCACTTTACGTTCGGTGCGTTACCTTATACTCCGTAAAGGTGGAAAAGATGTTGCTTTTGTTACCTATGGTCCATTTAATAGAAATCGTATAATGACAGTGCCACTGAAATGTGTTTCTGCACAGGAATCTCGTGAAACAGCACGCAACCAATTGCCTATCAAAGTGAAAAATCGTACACTCTATTATGTGCTTGATATGCGTGGAGAGTTTCGAAATCCTCAATTATTTGATTATACAGCAGGTTTGAAGCGGCGAGTTGATTGAAATAAATTTACTCTGGTACTGTTATTTCTTAGTTAATGTAAAGTGTTTATTTACTCATATTTAAGCCTTAATTATTAAAAAAATATTTATGCATATTTCAATTCTATTTACTAAAAATCTAGCTTATCGAGGTACAGACATCATATAGCCGTTAAAATTAGTAGACGGGTTCTGGTTGTTGTGTGATCAGCAACTTGAAACGTTTTTTGATAGTCAAACGATGACGTGAGTATTTATCTTCCGGCGAAAAACGTGCTGGGTGAGCAGAGATTGTTGGATGTCCATCTTCAGTTCGTTTCTAAAAGAAATATTGATGGCTTCATTAATATATTTAATTTAAACTTAAGAAAATTAATTTTACCTTCAGTGTGTAAACGCGTTCTCCCTTTTCGTTTAAAGTATACATTAGATACATTTTGGTATTAAATTTTTAATAAAACAATTGAAATAAAGCTTATTGTTCACACGTGTTTTACACCGCTTTCGAAAAAAATCAAACGTCAATTTGAGAATGTCAAAGGAATTTGTTTTCCATCTTCCTTGAACGTCAAAATGAAAAGTAGTCAATTGTGAACAGTAATAGAAACAGCTGTTAATAAAAAGCATGTTGCCACTTTAACTAAACTCTTAACCTTAAGTTCTTAAAACAAAGTCAGTAGACCGAAGAACAGTAAAATATTATCAATTTTGAAATATAAATTTTATTTCAAATTTAAGTGATATCAATATGTTTGAGTTATGTGCAAATAAATGGTTTAAGAAAATAGATTGTCTTCACAAAATCTCAACTCTGGTAGCCTCTTTTAACGAGAAGAAGAAGTGGCACAATAATTTTCTTTGTTATGGACTAAGCGATTTTTGCCAGAAATATAATAACTTGAACAGAAAATTAATTTTGGTCACGGATTTTGAAAAAAATAAAGTACTACAACAAATTTTCTACTATAGTGACTGATAAGTATTTGCATACGTAAATAGTGTTAAAGAACTTAAGATGCTTTTGACACAAATCTGAACAAAACGGGCGTTGTACAATAAAGCGAGTGGAAGTAGGGAGTAATGGTTTGCAATTTGCAAATCGATTAATATTTTATGAAAAACTGAATTAAAAATGTGCATTTAAATTATAACTAATAGCAATGTTTAGAAATAAAAACGGATCGGCTAAAGATGTTATTTTCTGGCAACAACGTGGAGATTCACACGCATAAACGTAGGACTAGTTGGATGTGGGAGAGCAGCTGCCGAAGACATTGACTGTGGGGCTGTTTAAAAAGTAAATAAAAATGATTGTAGGGAAAAGTTTTCAAAGAACATTCTAATAAAAGATAACATTTAATAAAAAAAATTCTATACCTCATACATGCATACATATTTACATGTAAAATAAGTTTAAAGGTTTAAAGATCAAAGTTAATGATTTGTGCACAAAAAAGCAAATAGTATACGTATAATACAAAGTAAAGGAAATGCATCTTATCTCTAAAAAAAATGTTTTGACAATGTATTTATTTTGTTTATATGGATGTACATATATATTCATGTGGTATGTTTGTTTGTTGTCTATAAGTTTAGTTATATCTCTTTATACCGATAATTTAATTTTCTTAATTAATTTTTTTAGATTCAATAATGCGATTAAAAATATTCCGCCATGTTAAAACCTTCCATGACATCTTTAATATATCACCACGTTTGCTAACATCGAAATTACGACCTATAAGTGATCGCAAAAAAGTTTACACAAAAATGTTGGCAACCAAGTGAATTAAAGATTATCGACAGCATTGCGATGGAATCATATAAATATACCAGTGATCGCAAGACTTGCACTAGTTAAAAGCGGCACCGCAGAGTGACTTTACCAAATAGCTACATCCATACTTGTACTCCCGCCAAAGTGGTACATCAGCAAATAAGTTTTGTGATATTTTCGTCTATTACACATAAGTACGATTCAAATCGAGTAAAGTAATATTAAATAATAATAAAAAAAACAACAAATACAACCAAGAAAATATACAATTATAAAAAATTAATTAACGACGCCGTATTTCAACATATAACTACTAAATCGAAGTTAATCAAGTACTTTATAAACATAAACAACAACGATCAGTAGCAACCGTTCAACTTTACCTATAAGTACACGCCTCTTACGTTCATTTCTACCTATAACTTCACCACCACCGTCAACACGTCTACCATTCAGCTTGTAATGTTGTCCGACGCTTATGACACCGTTGAGTTGGACACCATTGCCGATGTTATGGGTTTACGCTCACTAAATCGCCTCAATACATTTCGTAAAATGTGGTATCACATATTTCTTTGGGCGCTTTTCTCCTCCATTTTCATACACACGTGCGCTGCTTTAGTTGCTTTTGTGACCCTACGCAAACACAAATTCGGACGCTTCTTCTCTATACTAATTCTAGTAATGGGATTTTTATCGCCTGCCATGAGCGGCATAGTAAATAGCGCAGTGATAGCATTCGTGCATCGGGCCTCCAGTCTGCCAATGTCACCAATATATGCCATGGTGTGGGGTGTAGGTCAAACGATAGTCTCAGCGTGTCTAGGTTTTACACGAATTTTGGCTACACTATAGAAAAGTGGCGCTTAAAACGGGGGGGATGTATGGCAAATTGAGTGAATGACTGACAGACGGACAGTTCCAAATACACATACAGACACACACGTGAAGTCTTAGTGATATTCGCATAGAGTTTAAGTATAAAATAATTATTACGATTGTAAAAAAAAAAATTAAATTAATGTATATTTATAATTACAAGATTACCAGTCCATAAATGTTCATATAATGATAATTTATCTACATGTGTTTATGTAATAAGTTTTCTTACAATAATATGTATTAGTTATCCCTTATTCCCCATATATATATATATACATAACATTTGCTTTACTTTAATATTTGCTTTATTGACTATTTGTCGAAATTATATACACCAACAAACAAATAAATTAATCATAATTACAAGTATTCGTAAAAGCATTCATTCGTTAAAAAAAATACACTTTACATACATCATTAATCAGTAAGCGAAATATGGTGATTCATGAACGCATGCAAACATTGTAAAAATTAGAACTAAATTAATTACTCACTTCATACTAAAATATAACATATATAATTGGGCTTTTTAAATTATAATAAAATACTACAAACTACCGGAGTGAAACCCATGCCATGCTACATGCCAACGAACTTAATTTTAACTGTCTAAAAAATTTGTACAAATTTTCGGCCAATTAGTGTTATATAAATATTTCCTTAAAATGCTATAAAAAAAAGTAAAACATATAAAACTTCGCTTATATGTAAAAAATTGGACGTAGTTTAATGTTTGCATCTACATAACTGTTAATTACATTTCAAGTCAAGCGGTTGGCTCACATATCAAGTTGAAATTATCTCACAATTCTTTTTTATTTGGACAGGTTTCAGAAATTTAACAAACCGGCGAATTAAACCATTTTGACATATTCGTGATTCTAGAAATAGTGATGACTACTTAATAAAGGATATGTTCATGAAATTTATAATTTGGTTGATTAAAAATCAGTTGCAAATTATTTTTATTATGTTTAATGATTATTTTTTAATTTATTCGCATTACAAATACGTTCGTGTGTCGCGTACTTTTCCTGTCTATGTTTATACAATATCGATTCACTTTTGCCAAATAGAAAAGAAATGGCAATTCCAAAAAAAGTAAGAACAATCACAATATTCGCTAAGATTTTAACACTCAATTAATATCGAAATATGTGTACGTAAACTCCATAGAACAGTTAATTTATTCTTTATAAAACTCGTAATTGACAAGAATATAAATAAATAAAGACATTTCTAATTCGGATTATAATTTTAATTAATGCGGGCAAACGCTTAGGGACAAAAGTAAAAAAAAAAAAACTCATAAGAATAAAATTTAGTTGGCGAACCGTCGTGTCCAAAGCGTTTTGAATGTACAATTTGTCAAATTACTTAAGCAAATATATACATACCTACAAAAATCATAGGAAAAAATTAGTGAATATTATATAACAAAATTACGGAATATGAAAATATGTGATTTTTAATTATAACTGAATAACAAATACTATTAGCAATTGTGCATAATTATCCAAATAATATTCTAATTTACGATATTATATTTAATAATTATACTTATAAATATTTAGTGCTAGGCCTCACATTAGACCATATAAAATTAATAAACAAATGACTAATTAAACACATAAACATATATTGAAAAAGCCTAATTAATGTATAATAATAATAATAATATATAACGTTAAGGAATAAACAATAAACAAGTGGTAAAAAAAAATATTATATAATCAATTGTTCTAATGTAACTTAAACAAAGTAAAATTTTCTATAATTGCAAAATTGGTGTATATATATTCTAATTCATAGCGCTGGTGCATGCAAATATCATTTTTTCGAAAACTTGTTGAAAATTTATGATTAAATAATTGCATTTGGATCTCTACTATTATACAGCATGTGTAACTTTCCGCTCAATACCTGTCCAATACGCCTATCCGATTGTAATGGCTGTGGGCCACCGCGATTGATCTTTAAATCGGCCATTATCTTTTTCTCTTCATTTGCATCTCGTTTATATGCGTCCAAAAGTTTTTTGGGACATGGATATTGTGCGATTATAGTCTCAGCTACCTCCAAGGTTACTAAAGGCAAACGATTTAAGTGTTGTTGCCAAAGACGCCCTAAACCGTTTTTACCCACGACACGTACACACTGTTTCTTATCGTTCGCTAGGAATTTTTTAAAAGTGCTCAAAGTCTCGGCTTTTTGTTGCTTGAATGGCGCCTCTGCTATGGCCTTTGTGAAACGACGTAACGTAGCAGCAACTTCGCTAGCCACTGGTGCTACTTGTATTGTAGCTACTTGATTTAAGACTTGTAAATCTATGAGCACAGAATTTGTAGTGATTGATTCCGCATTCTTATTTTGATCTGCCAACAATGCTATAGTGGGTTGCTTATCTGGAAAATGTCTTTCCATTGTCTCTGCTATTTTAGTTGCTGGTGTGTTCTTAAGATTTTCTTTAGTAAAAAATTGCACAACTTGATTTTCCGATTCCCACTGTGCGCTCAGCGGCGAATCTAAACACTCATTGGGTAGCAATTCTCGCTGACCCGATTGACGTTCCCAAATTATACAAAATGTAGCAGGTAAATCGCGTACGGTATATGTTATTTGTAGTTGTTCGATTTCTAATTTTAGTTCGTTACCAAGTCCTGGAATACTAGAAAATAGTATACTGCTATCCAAAACCATGCGCACATATTTCTGGCATTCACCAGGTTTTATACGTTTTTGCTGATCTCGAATTGCCTTTTTTTGTAATTTATCGGCTTTCGTGTCCATTCTTTTTATATTTTTAACAAAATATAGCTTTGTTTTTCAAAATCCTTACCGCCTTTGCGAATATGGTATTTCAAAAATATTGGATTTCACAATGACATTTCATGTGACGTTTAGCGACATCTATGATGAAAGTAAGTACAACATGTTTTGTCAAAAGCTGTCATTGTCGGATATTTTTTTTATATCAAAAAAATGTTTGATATATATATTATATAAGTAAATTTTAACACGTATGTACATAATTTATTTAATTTTTAAATTCATTTGCTCATGGGGTAGAGCATCTAAATCTTTGAAACCTGTCATTTTACATGATGCACATATTAAAATTAATTTAATACTTTAGAACGTAGCCAAATTGTGGCAACCCTAACGTTGGATACCAGCTGGTAATTGCTCACAATTTTGCGCTGACAACGAAAGAGAAGTCTAGTGCGGAATTGGAATAGAAAAGTGATTTTTCGAAAGACACATATGTACACATAAATTTAAAATTGCAACTATCGGAGTGTAGTATTAATTGAAATTATTTTATAAGCCTTTATTACGAGCAACAATTCTCAAAATGAACCCCGAAGTGGTAAGTATTTTATTGTGAGAATTTCGGAATTTTTTTAATTAAATACGTGTTTGCAATTAGGAATTACATGATAGTGATGAAAGTGACAGTGATTTCTGTCCGGAGAAAGAAGCCGGCATTGAAGTTTCAGAAGAGGCTTCTAGTGAAGTTTCTAGTTGTAGCGATGAAGAGGAAAGTAGCCCCAAAAATACACACAAAAAACCACCTCGTAAAAATTCCGATAGCACTAAAAAACAAGTAAAAAAGGTCAAAAGTAGGAAACGTGCACGTGCCCAAGAGGAGGCACATTCTAGTGATACAGATGATGAGCATACGACAGCCGCCGACTCAGAGCGCAAGCATAACACGCGACAAACAGATGCTGCGAAGCGACTATGTAGTGGTAAAGAAAAGGACACTTTGGAATCGGAAGAAGAGGATAAATCGAGATCTGATGCACTGTGGGCAGATTTCCTTAGCGATGTGAAACCGAAAAATTCCGAACCAACAACAAAAACTACAACACAAGCAAATCACAGTACTGCCGTCGGAAATGGCGTAGTAAAAGCCGGTGTAACTAATGGACTGAATAGTCCAAAAAAGCGCATAATTAAAAGCGAAGAAAAATGTACCTCTGACAAAAAACCAGCAGAAACGAAAAAACCGGATACGGTTACTGTGACCGAAATTTTAGATTTTGCGGGAGAAGAAGTGCGCATAGAAAAAGTTGTTAACGCTGACAGCGTTAAGGAAAACAAAGAGGCAGGGAAACGCCCAGTAGCAGGCACGTCTGCATTGAGAGCCGGTTTGCCAGTAGGCTTAAAAAGACCAATGGCAGGTGGCAGCAGCAGTGGCGGTTTAGGCTCTATACTCAACCAGATAGGCAAAAAGAAGAAAATATCCGTACTAGAGAAGTCGCAATTAGATTGGAAGAGCTTCAAACAGAACGAAGGTATTGAAGAAGAGCTGCAAACATTCAACAAAGGCAAAGATGGGTATGCATTTTTGATTTTATTTATTTAGAAGTTATTTTAAAATGATATATATATATATATATATATATATTAATTACATATATTGTACACTTTCAGCTACTTGGAACGCCAGGATTTCCTACAACGCACCGATTTACGACAGTTTGAAATTGAGAAAAATCTGCGTCAATCACGGCGCAACGACTAAGTCCTACTATAGTTTTATAATTTACTATAATTAATATTAAACAAATTTAATTGACACATTCTGATCTAGTTATGTAATTATTTAAATACATAAGTATCTGGTAAAATATAAAACTACATTTATATCCATAAAACATATTTGCTGATGTTCAACTCGACCAATTGATAACCGCCTATTGTATTCTATATATATAGTAAACTATATAATATTATGATAACAACTAATACAGCATCCATAAAAGATAGCAAAAACTAAAAAGTTAAGGCTTATAAGTAAATACCAACAGCTATATTCTGACATAATTGGATTGTCTATATATGTATCCGTAATTATCAAAAATAGTTATATTTAATAAATTAAATTAATACAATAAATGTATGTGAAATCATCAAATAAAGTGACACTTAGCCAGAGTCGTTAGCCTTTTCTTTTGCTCATTATTCTAAGTTCGTCTGCAAGTTGCTGAAGTTTGCTTGCGTTTAAAGTTTATAAATCATTAAATAATAAGTATGCTTGCATCAAATCTGTGAATCTTTGCGACGAGTTAAAGTTTGCTGCTTAAGTCTTTTGTCGTCACTTTAAAGTTGAAAGGGAAAATCGAAGTTGGAAAATTATTTTCCGTTTCAAATGGCGAAGAAGTGGAGCTCTTTAATTTCGTACTCTTAATCGAAGAGCGACACAAAATTTTTGTTGTAACGCCTCTCTTAACCAGCCAGTAAACGATGTAAAGAAGCGCTTAAAGCAGCTTGGCGTTGCCATATGTATGTATGTGTTTGTAGCGAAAAATTTAGCGCTCATTACCGTCGCTTGACTAAAACTGACTGATTACGAGTTGTAAGTTAGGCAGCTGCCACAATCGCGCTTGCGGCCAAAGTGAGCTTTGCTGATCAGCGCTTGCTATTACTGTTACTTGGCCAAAACCTTGTCGATATTATCAATTTCAGTTAGTTTTCGACTGTTGGCGCGTTTAAGACGTTTTACCACGGCCCGTTGTGGTGTTGCGCGAACGTAAGGAGAATTTTGTGACAAAAATCGAGCGAAAAGAAGTCTTCAAACGCTTCTTTCGATAATAATGATACGCTGTTGTTTGCTACGATAACAAATTACTATAATATTATTTGGCGTTTTTGCTCGCTGCAAAGCGCTTTCTGTTGATAACAAGTGAAGCGTGAAAAAGTGACAACAATTCCGTTGGATTTCCCTTTCTTCGGTGGCGCTACATGTTAAAAAGCAAACAAACAAAACAAACAAAACAAAGAAATTGTAAGCAACTTGCGGTAACTAAAAAAAATTAATATAACAACAACCAATGGAATGAGTCTGCAAGCGCTTGACTTTTTTGTGCTAAAAGTTGTCTGTATACATACATACGTCTTTTTAATTAAAAGATATTTAAGAAAAATTAAATTTTTAAATTACCGTAATAGCTCTACGAAAATTTTTTAAATTTGTTGTAAAAATTTCAAATATTATTATTATTTTTTGTTTTAATTGTGCAACGCCAGTGGTGAAAGTGTGCTGCCGCAACCAAAAAAAAAAGCCTTGATATACATGTATGTATGTATTTGAAAATATTCGCACGTACATATGTATATATATAAAGCGCCAAAAAGTACGAAATCATATATATGAACCAAAAATAAAGTTAAAACAAATGTATAAAGTAGTCAGTGACCGTTTTGAAAGCCTTCAACGAAAAGTGCAGCTGTGTTGCAACTTCTGGTCCCGCTGTGTTGCAAACGAATTGCGCTGATTGGTGTGCTTGGTGAATACTTGCATATAACTGCTATTTAAGGAAAAACGGGACGTTAACTTCCGACAACAGCGGCTGCACGACCGACCAGATCAGAGCACGCGGCCGAATAGAAAGGAAGAAAACTTGTTCGAAGCAAAACGGTTGCGAAAGAAAAAAAAAATATACACAGAAACAATTAAAGGAAAACGCCGAGAGGTAGGAGGAATTGTAAATTGAAAAACATTAATTCAAAGAATTAAATGAAAATTAAAAAATATAAAGTTAAAATAAATTAAATTAAATTAAAAAAAAAAAAAAATATGAAAAAGTTAATAATCAAAAAAAAAAAAATAAAAAAAAATTAAATTAAAAAATAATAATAACAATGCTAAATTATATAAAATGAAATTAAATTGAATTGTTAGTTTACCAATTTTCATAAAAATAATGAATCCAATTAAAATAATATAAAGAAATTAATGTAAATAACCATAAATAAAATAAAAATAAATTAAATAAGAGTAAATAAACATTTAAAGTAAAATACTGTCAGATGATTTAAAATAATGTGAAACTGAATTAGTTGATTGCCAATTTACATAAAAACAAAAAAATTAAATTTAAAGAAAATTGAACAAATAACATTAATTATAAATAAAGTAAAATAAAAATAATAAATACAAAAAAAAAAAAATTAAATAAACTTGAATAAAATAAAATAAATAAAAATAAAGAAATTAATTGAAAAAAAAGTGAATTAAAAAATTAAAACAAAAATAAAAATTAGAAAATCAAATAAAATTAAACTTAATAAAAATAAAGAAATTTAATAAAGTTATATCAAAAAACTCAAATAACGTAAAATAATTTTGAATAATTTTTAAAATTATATGAAAATATTTGATTAAAACTCTCATAAAAATATTAATTTAATTTAACGAAAATTAATTGAAGTGAAAATAAATTAAATAAAAACAATAACAAAAAAATAATTAAAATAAAATACATAAAATTCGAATAAATTAAATAAATAAAATAATTAAAAATATAAATAAATAAATAAAATTCAAATAAATCAATTAAAATGAAAAAATAATGTCAAAATATTTAAAATAACATGAAATTGAACTAATTAAAACAAATTAAATTAAATTTAGCTTACTAAAATACGTAATTAATTTATTGAAATAATCTTTCTTTTGCGCGCCAGCGAAATATTTTATTTTCTACGCAATATACATTTTTTTACAGTACTTATATCTGATTTGATAATAAATAGTTCTTTATATCTTAAATTACAATATGTTTAAAACTAAAAAGAAAAATTATAAAAAATTATTTTTCTATTTTATAATAACTCGTTTTTGAAAATGTGAGTTTGTATCATTACCATTTACTACCACCAAGTGCTAGCATTTTTTTTCGTAAAAGGTAAGCAGTTTATTTAACGAATTTTATATAGACACGTTGTAGCGTCAAAACTAAAATTACAACTGAAACTGGGTTACTACACACAACTGCAATACAATACTAATGTACCTACCTGTTGTTTTCCAAATACAATAAGATTTTTTATTTTTTTATATATCATATATGCTGTCGAGCGCATTAAAATCAAGTTTGCCTGCACACAACTTCCAGCAAATTCAATTCAATTACTTAATTACCAGCATTATATTGGTGCATGTGACTGTCCAAAGCCCAAAAGTGAAACATGCAAAAAACCGAAAACGAAAAAAATGGAAAACACTTTGTAAACCAGATTTAAATTTTCCAAATCGATAGCGACGTGTATGTGTGACCCACTAAGCGACAGCGCGCCGCTGGTGTGACGCTCGCTGATAGCTATTAAATGACGTTGGTCAACTGCGAAATTGCTACTCTTGTAACTGGAAGTACCTAAAGCGCTTTAAACTTCTACTTGCAGTGTTGCAAAAATCGTGAAATCGCAGGCAAAGTGCCTTGTGACATTCGTTGCGGCGTTAGAAGTGGCCAATTATAAATTAGCAATTTAGAAAAGAAGTGCTAAAACTAAAATGTGCAAAAATTGTTAGTCAAACTCGTTTGCATAAAAAATTTTTAAAAATTTTCAGCTTAAAATTCTGTAAATTTCAAATTATTTTTTTTTTTGGTAATTTTTGCAAACAATTTTGCACTTCAGCTTCGAATATTCTTACATTGCTGACTACACCGAAATTAACCGATCAAAGTTGATCAAAAGCATGGAAAATTTATACAACAACCCGTTCTGATCCATAGATATGTGTTCAATTCGTTGCAAAGGGCGATAAACAAAAGACTTAAGAAGCGAACTTGTTTCAGTTTTCTTTAGTGTATTCATAACCTTAACCTGTTTTGCTGTTATCGCCAAGAGCAGTTTGTAAATTGGCAAAATAGCTAGATTGAAATATTTTTTAATGAGAAACTGACAGTTGTAAGCGCAAGGTCGTACACTGAACCCAGTCGGTGGTACGAGATAATTTAAAAAGTCTGATAAAAATGATGTTTTCAGTTGATGGAAAAGAATTTATTTAGCAAAAGTAACAAAAGAAAAAAAACATAAACAATTTAATAAGTTCATGTAATAATAAATAAATACGTTTGCGCAAAGAAAGTTTTAGCGTTACTTTTGTAATGAATATATGTCAAGATTTAAGGTCGTAAAGTAATAGGTAATGGAATGAAATATTGCATTATTGAACAATTTTAATAAGGCAAAAATCTACATAACGGAATGCTTGAAAGTTTTACTAAAAAAGAAGAAATTATGAAACATTTTATAATTGGAGATATGGAAATTTTCGAAATATTGACTAAAAACCCTAAAAAAATAAATATTTTGAGAGTTATTTTAGTTTTTTGTTTAACAAACGCATATTCCTCACTAATACACACTTACATATATGTACATATTACATATTTATAGCCAATCAAAACGACCTCCGTTGAACTAAAAACGCGCTGACACAAATCCACCATCAAAATATTTAACAGTGGAGAATCGCATTACAAAAATAAATTTCATCTAATTTTTTTGAAATAAACCTGATTTCGTTTCAAATGCGCGCGCCATGAAGTCGCATCTCATTGACAATAGCTTGATGCTACCACGCCATCCGTCTCGTTTGGCCTATTGTGGTCAAGGTCAGAGGCGTTAATGTCGCAGGGCGGGTGAACTGTCGCATTTATCGATCTGACAAACAAACAAAAACTAACGGCTAATTGCCGAAAGACTTCATTAACTACAATTACAAGGCTCAAGTATAGTTGAGCTGTAAACGCAAAATAGCAGTACTTAAGTCAACAATTGAAAGTGAGTTAGAAAAAGATGGCTGGCAATTTGGTGTTTTTGCAGTTTAATGATGATTAGTTTTTTAATTTTCTATATTTTTTTTTATTAAAATGCCTGTCGAAATTTATTTCAGTCATACATAAACTACTTTTGCATTGTACTGTTAATTTAATTTTCTATTCCTTGTATATTTTTAAACTTTAATTTAATTTTAATATTATCTTCAGTTTTATTTTTAAATTCAACTTTCATATTAATTTAATTTAAATTTTTATTTTACTCTAAATTTAATTTTAATTAAAATTTTAATTTAATTTTGATTTAAACTTCAATTTTATAATAATATTTACTTAGTTTAATAAATAAGTTTTAATTTAATTATAACTAAAATTTTTCAACTTACATTTTAATAATAACTAAAATTTGAATATAATTTAAATTTTGATTTTATTATTAATTTAAATTTTAGTTATGATTTTAATTCAAGTTTTCAATTTAATTTGCATTTACTTTCAATTTTAACATTAATTTTAAATTGAATTTAAATTTTAGTCCTTATTTCAATTGTAGTTTTAGTTTAGTTTGAATTTTGATTTTAAATTTAATTTTCATTTAAATTATAATTTTAATTTTAAATGTGTTCTTAGTTTCAATTGTATTTTTATTTTTATTTTTTTTTAATTTAAGTTAAGTTTTAATATTGATTTTAATTTTATTCTTCAATATAATTTTTTTTTAATTTTAATTTAATTTTAATTTCTTTATTAATTTTAATTTTAATATTAATTTAAATTTCTTTATTAATTTTAGTTTTAATTTTAATAAATTTTTAATATTAGTTTTAATTTAAATTTAAATTTTAATTGTATTTTTAATTTCAATTGTAGTTTTTTTTTAGTTTAAGTTGAGTTTTAATTCTGATTTTAAATTTAATTTTCAATTGACTTTTTTTTTTATTTTTAGTTTAAGTTAAGTTTTAATTTTGATTTTAATTTCAATTTTAATTTCATTCTTCAATATAATTTTTGTTTTAATTTTAATTTTAATTTAATTTTAATTTCTTTAGTAATTTTAATTTTAGTCTCAATTTCAATTTAATTTTTAATTTTAATTTCATGCTTCATTTAAATTTTCAATTTTAATTTTATTTTAATTTCATTTTTAATTTTAGTTTTAATTTTATTTACGATTTTCATAATTTCCACTAAAAATCTTCTAAGGCTAATAGTAATATTTTATAGATTATTTTATAGATTTTCAAATTTTGTTTCAAAATTATGTTTTTTAAAAATGCCACCATTTTGAAATATAATATTACAGACACCCAATCAGCACACTACTTACCTTGTAAAGTTTTTAGACAACCAAAAATATATTTAAATATATAAAAAGTTAAGAAATTTTGATCATCAACATCGCAAAATAAAAATATTGATGTGTCTATTAACACACCTGCAGCCTTTATACATTCATACACGTACACACACACACACAATAAAAAGTAGTTATATATGTAAACCCGCTATATTTTGCTGTCAAACAAGGAATGCATAAACATTTTTGCACATGCAACAACATCTATCAGTATATTGCTGTTGTTGTTGTTGTTGTTGTTTCTTGAATCACTTCAACTACAAATGTTATTGATTGTAGGCATTGTTTGTGCATTCATATTGTTGTTGTACATAATAACTCATCTCTATGCCAAAGGCTTGCGTTGCGAGCTAAGCAATCGCTAATGATACTGTTACATTGTGAATATATTTATATACATATATGTATATTATAAATGTGTTTGTGTTTTGTTGTTGTGCATTTGCTTAGTTTTGCGCATGAAATTCTGATTTCTTTGAGTTTTGTTGTCAATTTCATTCAATTTCTTGCCTCAGTCGACTATTTACTGCTGCTACACAAAATAATATTT